GCACAGGTGATCGCCGACAGTGGCGTACCAACTCCTTCGCGAGTGGGGGAAGGGGCAGCAGACAACCAACCTCATTCGCCAGGCATGATATATAAATATATATATATATATATATATATATATATATATATATATATATATATATATATATATATATATATATATATATATAATATATATATATATATAGAGAGAGAGAGAGAGAGAGAGAGAGAGAGAGAGAGAGAGAGCTTTTAGATGGCTGAATTTTTGATGAAGGCGTAAATTCTGCAGGCCCGTGTGCTCCGATTTTGGTGCGTGTTCAAGAGCCGGGTGGTCGAAATTTCCCGAGCCTGCCACTACGGCGTCTAGCATGGCCACATGGTGGTTTTGGAACGTTAAACCTCGCATATCAATCAAATAACTCACGGCCATTTAGTCAGCAAGCGCGTGCACTAACCACTACACCAAGCCAAGCTACAGAACCATCTGAAATTAAACAGTCTTGTGTAGGCACCGATGAGTCGTTTGTACACGGTGCGAACGTCGGCAGTTACCCCAAAGAATGGGTGCTTTATTCCACAAAAATGAAAGTGAACCCCCCTCCCCTCCCCGTCCCTTCCCTTTCGGCGCCAAGTGCAATCTTTTGCGCACACTCTGTTTTCTTTTTTTTTTTTTGGAGGAGCAAGGAGCCCATTTTGTGGTAACTGCGCCGTTATTCTGGCAAAAAATCTTCGAGTGTATGTGCGCGCGTACATTCCGGTGAGCTCATTCTTGCTGGGAGAGAGAAAACTAAATAGCGCTGGGCGTGTGTGCTCCTTTTCTGTCAGAGTTGTATTTTGAACTGTAAAAGACAATTCAAGATGGATGAAGACTAACTTGCCCGACTCCTAATCAGCCCTTCATTGTGCAAGAAAGCCACGGCCTTTCACATTTTCCCTGGTCCGGAGGGTCTAGCTGCAGGGTAAGCTGAGAAGCTGAGTTTCCCGCTGTACTCAAGTCCACCGCTTTATTCTTCGCCACTTTGCAAACTGCTGCCATCGCTCCTAGTTACCGTAAGCAAGGTTGATCAGATTTATCAGACTAAACCGCAAACCTTTTGTGGCGCTTTTAGTACAGCAGAACTAAGGCATTTAAAAAGATTCGTCACAATCATCGCCTCACAGCAGCTTCGATAAAGCAGGGATGAAGCTATTCATTTTTGGTGAAAGAAGACAATTTTCCTGAAGCAGTAAATGCTATGACTCGTCCATAAAACGATTGCTCATTCATATGTATAACAAATCAAGTACAAGACGATTTCGCGCCTTGTACTGTAGCGCGCTTTGCAATGCTACAGTAGAAGGCGCGAACGAGTCGCATGGGCAGCCTGGACCGCGAGAAAAATTCAAGAACAATCATTACAGCAGAAATTAAGGAAAATTTTTACTTAATTTAAAACATTTCCTGGCAACATTTCAATTTCGATAAGGATAAGGACGATAAGGACGATAAGAAAAGTATGGCGAACAAACTGGCTGCAACCTCATCATAGCCAAGTTCGACCTCACTACAGCGAAGACTTGCATAGATACAGCTATAAGTATGCATGGGACCGATCAACTTCACTGGGTATTGGTCTTTGCGTGGCTAAACGCAAGCTTCCAGCCATTTTAGGGGCGAAGCTTCTAAAAAGTCAAGGCTTGTCAGTTGGCGTTGGCGCTTTGTGCCGTAGTCGCCGCTGATGCGTTGACGATGCGGAACAAGCGTGTTTCAGATCACACATTCTGACACCACGGCAAAGCACATGTGAGATACCCAGTATGCGTCATGATGATGTCGCTCATAACGATGACGAACAAGCGTGTTCCAGGCCACACAGTATTTTTCTGCCATCACGGCACAACATATAGAAAATACCCACTATACGCCATGAAGATGACGCTGATGCCGATGAAGATAACGATCATGGACAACGACTGGATTGTACAGTAGATGACGTCTCGATGCTCCGCGATGCAGTTCGTATGATTGGAAATGACCAACAACCATCAGGGGAACGTGCTCAGACCCTGTCTTTGTAAGCTTCATGCTTCATCTGATACCGCAAAGCATTAATAATGAAGGGAGAACAAAATTGACAACTCAACAGAACATACCAGTTTTGACCAGTAAACATTGGATATAACTGTACACAGCTTGGCACTCATTTACATGAGTCAGCTGTTGGTCAATGTCACAAGTGATTTACGGTAAAACCAAGCTATCCCACTGCCTCGCCGACTCGTCATCGTTCACATCGTAGATATTCCGGTGTTTTGTTTTTACAGTATGTATGTTGAAGAGATATCACCCAGCGCATTACCATGCACGCTGTTTTTCGGCTGTCTGCACAAATGGGGCTGTGAGTGACTTATCACACTTAATATACTTATTAGGTGATCCGACGAAAATTCCGCGGTATGGGATTTCACGTGTATAACTCGTAACAGTTTATGTGAATACATGCATCTGAACATTAATAGGTTATGTCACTGTTATTAAACGCCCATTCCCGATCATGGAGCACCACCACAAGGCCTATTTGTTCATAATTGGGTCGTCGTGGTGATTGGCAGAAACACTTCATCAATGACTCCACTAACATCGCAATCAGCTATTGCTTAACCCAATGATTGGTTTAAGCGCAAATACTTTTCTTGGATGTCATGAGATCAATCTCGGCCAATGGCACCTCAATGGAGGCGAAATGATGGATGTCTATACGCTACGATGCGTGTGTACGTTGAAGGACACCAGACGGTCAACATTTCTGGAGCTCTTCACTATGGCGTCCCTCATAATCTTGGTTCTGGGACTTATACTTCAACACGCCTCATAATAATATTGTAACAGCGTCTCGGCAAGTAAAAATCCAGGCATTATTGTTTTTAAAAACTTGATTTCAAAACATAAGCCAGAACTTTTTTTTTGTGTTCCAGTGACAGCCTGCGCGGAAGGAACTTGTCGAGTATGCGCAAACTGAAAGTGATACACGTGAGCATGCGTTTTTTGTTCTTGCGCTTTCATCGTTTGAGGAAGCTCTAGCAAATATTAAAAAAAGGAAAAGTGAATGTCTTTTTGTCTGAGTCATTGCTGCTTTTAAAGCCTTGTCTCTCGGCTTTTTCGCTTTTGCAAAAAAAAAACAAAAAAAAAACAGAGAGTTCGTTGCCATAAATCGTGCCATAGGCTAAGACAGGTGTGTTAACCGTTTCAGACATTTTGTACACTATTTGTACGTCAAGTGTTTTTGCTGGTTGTATCAACTAGGAGGTATAAAAGTGCAGGGTTTAATAATATTTAGATGGAATGAACCTCCTGCCTAATAAACCTGTCTTCATTTAACTTCAGTTTTTACCGTAAAGTTGCATATAATGGCTTTTCCGAAGGTATACCATGGTCGACGAGTCGTTTGACGTTTCCCTTTCCTGGAGCCACGTGGAAATATATTCTTTGTCTTTTCTAAATATCCACAAAACCATAAACCAATCTGCACAACTTTTCTACTCTGAGATTTGATTCCATATATGCAAGCACCGAACACGAATATCTTCAGGATGAGTACATATTTATTTAAGCCTATTTTCATTAACTGCGATAAAACGCACCGATTAATCTACTATGAAGTTATTGTTGTTTGAGTAGAATAATGTGTGTCGTAAAATCATGCTGTGAGAATTTCACGCATTTAGAAACGGGTTTTCATAGGTGGCGTCTGAAAGGGTTAAGCTCAACAAAACGATAAAAGTGTACGATGCACACGCTGTCCCTACTGAACTCTTTTTACTGGTTGGACTTTCGACTACGTGCCAACACGCACGGGAAATGCAGCAGCCAAAGCATATAGTGAATTATAAATTACTATATATACAAAACAGCCGATCTGATGAAACTATTTTGCTAGTAATATGACAGAGTACCCACCTCCTACTTAAAAAAAGAACAAGTTTGATTTATTCTATTATCCGTCGTGATGTAGCAACGATCACGGTTCTCAGCTGTTGACCAGAAGGTCGCGGGTTCGATTGCGCCAGCGACAGTTTTATTTCGATGGAGGCAATCAAAAGGCAACTGCTGCGGCTGTGATAGAACCAACAAGCCTAATGCTTGAGTACTGTGTACTTTGTGACGTCAGTGGACAGTACACAAAGGTATAACCTAGCCATACGAAGGCAAAGTGATAATGTGGTGTTGTGAGTGAACGTTCGAACATGACTCATTCTGGCCAACACGAGCAAGCGTACGAGGTCGTTCACCAAAGCAAATATTTAAAGAACGGCGTTGGTTTTTCCTGCACTAAGTTCAAATGGCAGTACACGACTGTGATACCTTCGCGACGCCATGTCGTTTCTGACAGAAATTTATTGAAGTGTAAATCTTTCGAGAAGCTTCGTTGAGTGCACAATGCAACAATAAGAAGGGAGACGAGAGGGTAAAGAAATTGATGCAAAGAAAAAAAAGATCAGTGTTGAGTAACTATATCAATTTACACAACCTTTAGTTGAAGACAGATTCCAAAGAGCATATTAGCCTAATAAAACTAATTAGGTAACGCTTAAGCAAGAAATGCGTACTAAAAAGTCTGAACCAGAGACTCCGAAATATAGAGCGAACTTAAACACGTGCAGTTTAAGGGCAGTGCCTCTTTAACGATAACCACATGCAAACAGAGACACGTGCGACACTGAGCCATCCCTTGCACCCGCGTGTCTTTCCAGTACTCCACTACCGGTCTTTAAAAAAAAACGAAAAAAGACACGTGCCAAGTCACCCTTTTGAAGAAGGAAACTTGCCATTGCCTTCCTGACCGGTGTGCCGATGATAAGCGAGCACGGGAAGACAACACGGCTCGCACACATACTACACACGCACGCGCAAGCGAAAAAAAAAAATATATCGGGACGTTCTGTTGCAGCAATGGCCGGCAAGTGTCGCTGCGATTGCACGCTAGGAACCATGTGGCAGCTTGCGGCCTGCTACGCAAGCTACTATATAAGGAGCGTGCGGTTTCTGTTACCGCTCAGTAGTTGTCAGTTTGTTTGGCTTGTGCGCGACTAGTACTCTGAAACGTGTGTTGCACTGAAGCATATACACAGGCTAAGCGATGGGATCATTCCACTTCATGCTAGCTGCCCTGGCCGTCCTCGGTAAGTTAACTCGAACAGGCGACATTAGTTTCAGTGATATTTGATGAAGCGGTGTGGCCATTGGGCTGTTTTGAAAAGACTTACGCGAAAGGTATCCAGAGTAGCCATTTTGATGAGTGTTGTAGAGAAATGGAACGGAAGGTGTGTTATCGATAAGTTTTCTTAGCGAAGAACAAATGATACCTTAAGAATTCAAGAAACGGCGGGAAGGGGAAGTTGGAACCTTGGCAATGAAGAAATCCGTACACACAGGTTGTGTGTGCTAGCTGACGTTTCGAAAAGTGAACCTGTCTTCCTCGAAGCTTTAAGTGATTTCAGTTCTAGCCTCAAAAAAAAAAAGTACGCCTGTTGTGAAATATGTGTCGGCTCGGGAGCACAACCCGTATGTCACGTATTTTTTTGTTATGGAACATGAACCATACAATTAAACCACGAAAATTCGTTGGCAGTTTGTTTGCGGATTTTTTCGTCTTTTGAATACAAGCTATACCATATAATTGAAGGCCCAATTTGTTCCCTTTTGCTCGGTCTTCAAGGCGAAGATTTATTGCGACGAAATAAATTATCGCAAGCAGAGCGCGCGTGAACATACGTTGCGCAGAATAAAAGGAATACTTGCAAGATACAGGTTAAGCTTGACAGATTCCAGGGAAGTCTGTATTAACATTGACCGCTGAAACAGTTCTTTTTGACGCCGCAGACCGAATTCGATCAGTAAGGTTTTCTTAATATTACTCTATCTTTAAACAGGGTAATTTAATTGAACACTAACATCCTGGGCACTTTGTTGCGTAGCTATGTTTTTGTCAAGTTTGCGCGAATGAACGCGCTGCGCATTGTGATTGAAAACTTGCATGTGATAAGCATAGATGGCGTGTGCAGCGTAGGAGCCACGTCTGAGCCATTATCCTTAACCATTAACTATTCTATCACTCTGTATTAGGATGGGCGTTACGTTTGCCTGGGTTGGCCCGGTATGCACTAACCAATTTGGGTGAGGGGGGGTAGGACATGTGCGGTTATTGTGACATGGCAGAAGAGCTTCGAAACAGTGTACCTTAAAACTGGAGAAATGGCTACTTCATGCGCCAAACAATCAATGCATGGTTCATCAAAAAGTCGCCATGAAGCCAACATGAAATTTTTGTCGACAGACGGGCTCGTAAAGTAGTCGGTTTGCTGAAAACTAGCCAGCAATGGCAACCCTTCGCAGGGGTGACCATGAAAAACTGCTCAGATACGGGATTTCTTCCTTACATAATGCAATCAAGGCTGGCATGACCGCTACCATGCTTTGATCATACGACACGTTCCTTCATATTTGCGCCAGTACAATACTAGGCATTCATCGAATGTGTGCTCTTACTCTCTCGACAAAGTAAATAATAATAAATCGCTATAGTTGCAGACACCTTCTACTATATCTTTACATAGTCCACAGGGTCAGCGTGTCAAAAACTTAATGCATGCTCAGTTTCGCTCAGTTTTCATGTCTTATAATTAAGGCATGCTATATTGATATTAGTGGAAGTGCACGCGTAAGCCAATCGTCGATTAGCTTGCACACAGAAAAAATGAATTACTCTAGCAGTTATCTTTCACATAGACCTCGGCCCACAACGTGTGCTGGAATAATTTTCATTATTTACCGGGCATGCACAGGCCAATTTATTACAATTTATTCGCCATTGCACGCTTTTGCAGTTCGTTGGCAGACGTTTGGGTTGCCTTGACATTTGATGGTCTGTGTTTGCTAGCCCCGTCTGTACGAGCAGGTAGAGACATTGTTTTGGCGGTTTAATTGTATTGTTCATTTTCCAGAACAAAAAATACGTGACAACCACGTAGAGCAGTCTATAAGGCTTAGTAATTATGCAATTGTCATACATCTGTCCTTTTTTTTCACTTGCCGTGTTTCGAATGATGAGAAGCTTGATTGGATACGTGCCTGTCTCCACGCACTGTCTAATGTTTGCTGTTTCACGTCCCAGGACCACTTTATGATTACGAGGGACGCTGTAGTGGAGAGCTCGAGAAATTTCGACCACCTGTAGTTTTTTAACTGGCTTTTTTATAGATACACACCTTGTTCAAGTAGTATGCAAGGCTAGGGACGTCGGCCTGTGTCGCGGACTGGCGTCGCAGCGGATCATGTGGCGTGACTTGCGAGATGGTCTCCAATAGCAGCACAGCTGAACGGCCAGATGTCTGATGAGGACTGTCAGAAGGGAGGGACTTCCACTATGGGGCAACGCTGAAAAAATAAACTCTGACGCGTAGTGAAATGTACACGTGCACAGTTCACGGCATTTCGACGCGCATTGCGGGACAAACGGTGGCGAGAAGTGACGTGGTTGCTTGGAGGTAGAGAATGAGAGATGGTGCAAGTTGGCACCAATCAAATGAAAGATGAACAGAACTTACCCTTCGGCTTTCGTAGGAGTAGTTGAACGGCCTAGTCTGGCTATTCGCATACTGATGATAAGCAGAGCTAAGAGACACGGCCACAGAAAGCAAACGCACCAGTTGAGGAGCGGCTTCCAATCGAATTTCTGTCCTCTCGTCTGTCTCTTTTCGCTTCCTCTATTCTTCTCTCCCTGTGCAAGGTAAAAAACCGGACGTGCATTTGGTTAACCTCAGTCTTTCCTTGCTTTTGTCTCTTTCAGACATGAAAACGTCGTATATGTACATACGTGAACGGTTGCAAACAATAAAGGCAAAAAAAAATGCAGTGACACAAACACTAACGGTCACCGAGCCCTGCAGCGCAAGCTCCCGCCTACCAAGAAACAGCTCCTGGTCAGATAGTGCAACCGAAAGATTGCTTACGCACCCGCTCCTTTCTCCAGCCATCTGACCAGCCCCACTGATTATGCACGCTTGGTCATCCCCATCTTATCGAGAAGTTGTAGTCCCACAAAACTGCGGTGTGCACTCGCACGTGCTCGCATGCCAGCAAACTTTTTTTGCCAATACGTACATTGCAGGTCTGCTCGCGTAAGCGCTCCTTTATTCAATAAACCACACGATGCACCCTGCAGGGCAAAAAGATCATGTACAGTACGGCCCACTGCAACAACACGCGAGATCGTGGCCGGGGGACCTCACGGCGCTAACTGGTGGCGAGATTTGTAAATGCGGCGCACAAAGTCGTAAAGGTGCAACGCGCCTAGTTTAATCTGCTACTTCTACGCCGGTGTGCACAAATCTGTTAGAGTTTTCCGTGTTTTTGCGGCTGCAAGCTATTTAGCTCTCGCTCTGTCTGCGGCTCCTAAGATTTCCGGCAAGCACGAAACATCTACGATTTCTCTTTTGTCCACTGTTTTCGCAAGCCGATTGATATGTGGGGTTTTAGCGTTCCAAAACTACCATATGTTTATGACGGACGCCATAGTGGAGGGCTCCAGAAATTTCGACCACCTGGGGTTCTTTAACGTGCACCCGAATCCGAGTATACGGGCCTACAGCATTTCCGCCTCCATCGAAAATGCAGCCGCCGCAGCCGGCATTCGATCGCGTGACCAGCGGGTCAGCAGCCGAGTAGCTCAACCACTAGATCACCGCGGCGGGGCAATTGCAAGCTACCACGGTTAAGCTTGACATACTGATAGGTATCATAAGAGATAAGCATAGTGAAATCTGATGCAGTAAACATCTGATGCTTTTTCGCCCATGAAAAATCTGATGCTTTTTCGCCCATGAAATATTGGCTGATTCGGTATTAGTGGACGTGCAGTGAAAAAACTAAAAGTGCGAAGGTTCGTGGCTCGTTAGCACACGTCGTGTGCCTGCCTGGTCATAGAAGTGGCAGACGACGTTGATGAGCGCACCACCTTTATTAACCAATGCGCATGTACCACATCTCGAAATCTCTCTGGCAGTATAGCCCCATCTTGGTGGTCTAGTGGCTAAGGTACTCGATTGCTGACCACCAGATCGCGAGATTGAATCCCGGCTTCGGCGGCTGAGTTTTCGATGGAGGCAAAAAAAGTCTGAGGTCCGTGTGCTCAGATTTGGGTGCACAAGAACTCTAGGAGGTCAAAATTTCCGGAGCCCTCTACTATGGCGTCTCTCATAATCATATGCTGGTTTTGGGACATTAAACCCCGCATATCAATCAATCTCTCACAGTTGGTGCTACATGGAGCTCCGGCCGTGCCCTCGCGTGGTCCCTAAACAGTGGACCATGCGCGTAGCCTTATGCATCTCTTTACGGGACACGTCCGGCTTGCCAGCAGGAACAACTTGTCGGGAGCACTTAAAACAACTTTCACATAAATAAGGTGTTCTATTTTTCTTAAGACGATTGGACATCGAGTGCATATCAACAAAGCATGTAAACAGCATACACCACGGTAAACCATAAGAAAGTAACGTAAATACGCAAGACTGCATATGCCGAATTGTGCGTACTGAACACATGTTGAATGCCCTGGAGAGCTCCTGTCAGCACGTCCCTGAAGCTAATCTCTGACACAGTCGAGACGCCGAGAAGAATCGCGGCACCCGCACCCGTTGCTGGTTTCTGTAGCTGACACAACGCACAGAAAAGGAAAGGGTAGGGTCATTGTCGGGGACAATGAACAAACGGACCGCTGAACAGCGAGACAAAGTAAACCACTTTGTCCCCTTAGCAGTCCGTTTGTTTGTCAGCTTCATAGCGTGAAAAGCGAAATGGCGCTGTAATTAGGCCCATCTCGCAAGACTTGAAAACTAAGCGCAAACACTTATTCTGAAAAGTGGCTTAACTGTGTCGTTTCTGTTCTGCGTGTAAGTGGCACTCGCTTTTATTATGTTCGAACTTTGTTTTTCAGGATGCGCCGTGGTTGCGTCTGCAGTTATCTGCAAGACGGTGAGTACGCTTACTTATTTCCTCACTTTCTTGCATACGTAACAATTGCCAAGGAATAGTTCCCAGTTTTTCTCAATCGTATGCCTCATCAAACCCGAAAAAAATACTGTTGGCGATGTGACCAGGACTGTTAGAAAAAACGTAGTTGATCGCTCAGATACAGAAATCAGTATAACACACTAACTAAACTTAATCGTGTCCTCAGAGAAGTGGTTGTATGTTTATTGCACATTGATATGTCTATTCGGCGGCGAGAACGCCAGTGCTGATAATTTGCGACGTGATCATGGCAACGTCACTGCGACGCAGCATGGCGTCACATTCTGTCGTCATCGCGTGACGTTGCTTTGTCAAAAGTGGTCAGATCAGTGAGGCACCACATCGAATGCGGAAAGGTTCCTCAAATCTCTGAGGCAGTGCAAAAGCACGTTGCGTGCGGAAAGCTTTCAGAAAATTCCGGGACCATTGACCCCGAAAAAAAACTATCTCTTTCCAATCCTTAGTTTCCTATATATGTATGTATATGGTATTGTATGTATATATGCATGTATATATGTGTGTCTGTGCGTGTATATGTATATATATATGTGTGTATGAATTTCTAGAGAAAACTCTAACGCTAGTTTATATGGGATCTTCAATGCACGGTACTTAGCCAGCACGGAGAAAGCCAGGTAGTGCATGGATTTGCCTAATTTTTGTACGTCCAATCGGGTCACGAAGTTCGAAACGGTTTGTTCTTTGATTTCCAACAAAACCGAAACACTGCACTAAACGGAGCCACGGGTGACCTTCGACGTCCGCAAGCCCGAATACTAGGCACATCGGTGTACCACTTATCATTCCCATGGTCGCTGCACGATGGACACCACCAGAGTCCCCTCTAGTTTTTTCTAGAGACTGTGTTCTGGTCGCCTTGGACAAATGAATGAGGGATGGTGCAACTTTTTTCCCCTATGCTACTGACGCATAAACGTCCCAGAAAGAATGTTTTACAGTGGTGAGGTCTGGCAATACTTGCGGAAGAACTTGGAAGCGCTTACTCTGCGTTGTTTCCTAAGTATATTTGCTACGTGGCTTCGGGAATAAGTTGTTTGCCCTGTGCTTTTCGTGACCTTCTAGTTCTGAATGTTTCTTTTATCGATGCTTCTTTTTTGCACCGACTGGCCTCCTCTGCCTTACACAGGATGCCGATTGTTCTGGAGGTCAGCGCTGCGTTCTGCACTCCAACTTCTCGAGCAGAGCAAACTGTGAAACCGATCATCGCTGTAAGTGAATCTTGCTCGCTATTAATTCGTGTACGTCAGTTCATCGTGCAAAGTCAGCATAGTGCACCTCTTGAATTTTCGTAACATCATTTCGCGTCGTGTTAAGCCCACTCTCTACCCTAATGTTCTGCTTCCTTTGCAGGCATCTCGGTTTCCTCAACCTCTTGCTCGGTGAGTATAATTTTGCGTTCTGTACAAACAGTATTATATATAAGAAACAGATTATTTTGGATTTGTAAACTAGCTGACAATTATTATTGCCGCTTTTTGCCGTGACTGCTTTGTTCGTCTTGCAACCTTAGTATGGCATGCCGTAAGACACATGTTCCTTATTTTGTTTCGTTTTTTGAAAAACTCGGTGACTATCACTGTTCGTGCCAGCATTGCAGGCCCTACTTCTCGAGCATACCTCCTTGGGGACTTCTTTTCATTGCTTCATTTTAGGGGCGAAGCTCCGTGTGGTGTCATTTATTCATGCCGCTGTCGTTTGTAACCAGCCGTGGCACATACCCGTTTGTAACCACAGGTGGCACATACCCGAGAAAGCGGGTATGTGCCACACAAGATTAACTTTCAGGGGCGAAGTTCCTTAAGCCGTGGGCCGTGCGTCCTCGGTGCATGTAGTAGGTAGCCACCTCTCATTTAGCTTTTGGAATGTCCACTAGATGGCAGTACTTGTATATGATCAATATATGGTGAAATGATGCGAGATGATGGTACTTTTAACAATACTGATTGTTGGCCTAGTTGCTAATAAAGTGTGTGTGCGTGTGTGTGATCGACCCATGAACGCTTCACCCCACTCATGATCATTCAGTCCGTGGATATGCTGCAATTTTTCGGGGGCACAGTCGTTAGGGGCGTACAGGTGGACTGCATTAACGTAACCAAATATCTCAGTGTAGCTGAAACAACCTAAATCATAGTTGACGTCATCCAAATCATATTCCAGTGAAGATTTTGCGTACAAACTACTTTATCACGCACTACCCGCAACTTGACATATCTGCTCACAGTCGATGTAGCCATCACCATACGAAACTGCCCTAACTCTCCGTGAAGATATTTGACGTCCTCCTATTCCATATAATCCTTTCTTTGTTTTATTATCCTCAGTGTGACTCTGGCTTCCAATGCCGACTGAAGGACTGCCCTTCATCACCTTACGAATGTGAGTGTCATCTGAGGTTTAGTTTTGCTTAATGCACATCGCTGACTAACTGATCTCCGACAGTCATTACATTTCATGCAGGAATGTTTTATTGGAAGTGGCTAATCTTGATTACTTCAATACTTATGGCTCGACTTCATTCGTAATACTGCCGAGCCTATAGATATGTTAGAACTATGCAGTCTCGACGAGTTTTTAATTATTGTTTCATATACCATTGGTCCGTACTTTTCAAGCGGTTCACCCTATCTGCACTTGAATTTGCGTGCTGTCATGTTTCGAAATCGGATCCTATCACGCAAGCCATAAGCTGTTCTTACATATATCTTGTGATTTCGCAGGTCTTGTCCTGGAACAACAAAACACCAGATGCGGCGGGCGAAATGTACGTAAACGGCTTTTTGCTCTACGAGATGATTGGAGCATTTTTCGTTTCTTAAGCTATGCACTAGGTACCTTTGTTATTGTCCACGTGTTTAGGGCAAGGAATGTAAAATTTCGAGCCCTCAATCATAACCTGGTCGAGTGGCCTGCAGCCTTCGTTACGTCACAGCTACTGTCAAATGAGTACTAGGCGAACGCATGCGAAGCCGCACGTTCGCTTCACCCTAACTGTACTCCCTGAGCAAAAACGTGCCCACCCTCCAAGCGACAAGTTTCTGATGGTTCTTGTAACAATGCTTCGTTCCCTTGTTAAGTGCACATACAGAAAAGCTACAAAGAGCCTCAACATAAGTTTTCCAACTCACGCTTGCCGGAAAGGTCGCTTTGTGTACCCTCGTAGGCGATGACGAGTATGCCATGAACTAACGTAATCGTGCGCAAAGCTTTGATGACCTCACCCGCAGAACTCGGTGTTTTAATACTGAATGAACACAACTATTTTCACCAGCTTCTCTGGTAAAAACCACTGTTGTAAATGTGACAATCCAAGTTCATGCAACTTCGATTGAACCAGATCGAACGCGACCGAACAGTTGCCGGATACGATAAAACCCTATTCGTGTTCAATGAAAACCCATCAGAACGTTATCGGTCTTTACCAGGGTATTCGTAATTGGAGCTTTGACAAACTTGCTGTGCGATGTCACACCGCATACATGCCAATATGTCTCTGGCACCATGTCATCCTCTCTCCATTTAGACAGCAGTTAGTGCTATGTATTACACCTCACCGGTGTCCATCATGGCTATGCATTCTTCGAAGCATATCTATAGGTTGAGTTACCCTAGACGTTTGGAAAGTTCAATTTCATGCCATGTAGGCATTACTGGTTCCCAGCAATTGCATACTTGAGTCACCATTTGTTATAGAATGTGCCCCAGGGACAATTTGCCAATATTAAAGCAATACGAAGCACTAAAAGATTGCGAAAACTGCGTGTTAGTAGGTATGCTCACTTCCTTTCTCTCCCTATATTCATTGGTTCGAATTGGTAAAATTTGTAGTATTTGCGTGAATAGCTAACTGGTCGTATTTGTCCACGACGTAAAAGGCGGGAAACGGATACAAAAGCTACAATACCAGTGATATTTGACGCTCTAACAAAAATAAATGCACATGCATATTCAGTTGATGACAGCACTCGTTGTAAAGTTGCAGGAACCTCGAAATCAAGTATTTATATTGTGATGTAAAGTGACAACTTGTAATAGTGACGTTGCAGTTCAGGCTTCCCCGTCCGATGGCCTCGCGCTGTTGACGAGGCATGGTAGTGGGTCGAGAGAGTGGTTCTGTAGAACGGTGAGGGCTGCGCTTTGCCTCCAGTGGCGAGGCCGAAGCTTGACGTGTAAACCAATGGGTGGCGCACCCGAAAGAGTCGACAGTAAGGCCTAGCAGGCGAATCTGGCTATGTCGTGAGAAGTAGGTGAATGTCTTGTTGTAGCGTAGAAGGAGGGCGTTGGTTATATGCGAGCTTTCATATTGAGACTGCTTCTGAGGAAGAAGCCACCCAACGTGAGCGTCAGTGGGAGCTTACACAAGAACGGGCTTCTCGTCACCGAACCAACCGCGATGTTCGTGCAAGAGAGGCCTGCCAAAGAAGTAAAATATTAAAAACATAGAAGTACAGACGGCGCGGTGAAGGAAAGGCATAGACTTCACCGTTTTGACAGTGCTCGAGCCATGTAGCTGGCTGGATCTTTGGTATAAGCTCCGCGAAAACGTGGAAGCCTATGAAATGCACTTCACGCAAAATTGATGCTCGCTCGTGTCAGTGCACTTCAAAGTGCTTCCCCCGCGAGCTTTGATGAATGTAGCGATAAGCATTCGATGCATACAGCGGTATCTATCAGACAGGCACCGTTATCACAGCAATTAGCGTTAGCTTATCGCTGCCCCGTGCTAGCCTGAAAAAAGAGAACAAATCTACGTGGGGTCTACTCTGGGAGATCAGCATGCGCAAGCGTAACACTTTATTGTAGGTAGGAATATGATTACGGCATGTCCAAAGAACTGCTTTTCAGGCCACATGGGAAAACTCGTATTTGTTCTCCCCATCGGTGCCGTCAACCTCCTCCATGCGTCACCAACGTCTGCAAGATATCAAAGGAGGGCGCATACCATTACCTCCCAGAAACGTCTTCAATTATATACCACAACAGGAAATTGGTCACCAGGTCGTGCCAAGAAGGAAAATGCGCACTATATATTAAGTCATCACGCAAGAATTATGGGTATAACGGAAAGATTCGGGGACTTGGTGCATTGGTTGACATTAGCGGTGGTAGTGTGCGTAACCGAACAGATTGAATGTGTACTCTCCGTATTACGATATCGCAGATCTTGCAGTTAAGATACAACGTGTTTCTTTCACAGCTCTTGCGTTAAATGCTGTAGCCGCCATGATTGTATGTGACCGAACGTTTAGGTTTTATGCGTATTTAATTTTTCAACAATTATTTTTGATGTAGTTATTTGCCGCTTCTCTAACCTTTGAACACGGCAGGGTCCACAGTGTGGCCCGAACCAGGTGTGCGGATACCAAAGGACCGGACTGGTGTGCATCAAGTGCCCCTGCTATGGTACCGACCGTGCTGTGTGTAAGTATACGCGTCCGTTTTTCTGGGAGCAACGATCCGTTACGTTTATTTATTTATTTATTAGAATACCCTCAGGGCCCGTAGGGCATTACAGAGGGGGTGGGTACAACATATATAACACACAAGAAAAAATATTAGAAAAACGTTAACTCCCGTTTACCTAAATTCAGCCGTTAAATGCAGTATCGCTGGATTTCATCACTGCCAATGCAATGTCGGGTTAGATTTTGCAAATATATAGCGCTTGCGTACGGCTGGGGACGAAATTCTCATTGCAAATACATTCAGCCGCTTGAATGCATGCGTTCGCTCGCTAACAGTCAATGAATTATTTGCAATTATTTCTCCGTAATGAAAAAAGAGAACGTTCCACTTGTAGTAGTGCAATGTTAACTAGCCACTGATAATTTTTTATTGAGGAAATAACGTTCTTGTATAGGAATCAACTATGCATGTCGCCATTTTCATGTAAAACGAACCCATCGTTGTCATCTAAAGACGGTGTAAATCAACAAATAAAGCAAGAGAGAAGGATTGAACGCAATAACAATGCACCTGTGAAGCCACCGAGTATTAGAAAATGCACTCAATCATGTCGCATCCGAAAAAGCAAGTTCAGAATGTGACACAGAAAAGACTCTTTACTTAAAAGACTATCTCTTTTCTTCTTAATTTGAAATCCTTCTATTGTATCACTTCTTCGCTTTTTGTGCTCGTCGGTGACGGTTGTGTCACAAAGCTTTGGCTGGCACAACTTCTCTCTGTTCTTCCTGTTATTCGTTGTTTCATTTAATTTTTCGATAAAAACGATGGTTTGTAGTGGCGTGCATTCATTCCATGCATATATAGGAGCATCTTCTCCCAAAAGGTATGTGGTAAAGCACATGAAAATTTTTCGGGAGAAACAGAGTGCATACTATAGTAAACGCTCTTTGCGATTTTTTTTTTCTCTTCATTGAAGTTGCGGATTTTTCATGACGCCCCTAAACCAACATGCCCAAACTGGCATTTAAGCAAATAAATATTTTACATGATATATTTGCTCCGTGTTTCATTTTTCACTGGAAGGAATGCTGGGGTGACACATTCGCAGATTTACAAAAATCATCGCTGTATTGGTTGTGCGTTCACTGAGACAGCTCCAGCATCGGGGAAAACTCGCTTTTCGCGTTCTCCGCACGTTAAACGACAACCGCATTAAATAGTAGTTGAGCAGATTCGGCTATAGTTCGTTTTGGACCTAGTGGCCACATTAGGCCGTCGATCCAAAGCACCACCAGTGCGATTCCTGCACTACGCTTCAAGCGTTCCTGCTAGACTGCAGTGCCTACCATTAGCTGTTGCATTCTCGATTGTTCAGTTCTCGGATACTTCCGTGAAGAGTTTTATAATATCTTCCGTTATAAACTCCAACACTGTTCATGGTGCAGGCGTGGACAAGCAGCCCGGAGTCGACTGTGGTCCCAACAGCATCGTCCAGGTGAACCACGACAACAGCTACGTGTGCAAGGCCTGCGCTTCCGCCACTTCCGTCCTCACTCATTAGAGGAAGCAGTGACTTCACTTAACTCCTCATTATTTGAAGAACTGTATAGATTAGTCCATGTCTCGGCTGTCTGGAGAAGTGTCCCTCGAATAAATCAACACCGACATGTTGCACACGCCCATGCTTGTCTTTGCGCTCCTTCCTCGGAGTGACTGTCTCTCGCTTCGAAGGTCACCAAAGTGAGAGAGATGGTTACGAAGCCGCACTGTCTCTTACTTTCCTTCATTGTGTTTAAAATATGTCTTGTTTGTGTCCCAGTCTCTGAGCGTCTCTTCAGAGATATTGGGACGGAGGAAAGTTGGAAAGACGGTCGACGTTTTCATACAGCCCACTGACGGTTCGTGGCTGACTGGCCACCCTTGCCTGCCTTATACCAGTACTCTTGGCTTACTTTGACTAGTGCTCGTTATATACTATAGCTAAACTCGCGCACTTCTATTAGTTTTTAAAAGTTTCCCCTGGAATCAGTGACCCCCCCCCCCCCCGTTTTTGAAACTGCTAAAGCCCGCAGTGTGTTCCAGCCACAGGGCATTTGAATGCTGCCATAGCCACACTGACGCGTACTTTTTAGCATCGCTCATTTATTAAGCGTCTCGTTTACTTTTTACTTGCATCACCTGCACGAGGTCGTAGACTGTGGTTGGCTTTCGTACTCTACGTTATACAAACCCCCTTAAATGCCTTTCTGCGTCGGCGGTGCGAACACGAATCGCTCGAACAGTCATGTGGATAATTCACTCCATAATGTCGTTGCTGTACAGGTCACCAAAACTTCTGACGTCATCATAACGTTATGTGGCTGGCATCACATGAAGTCATCACAAGTTAAATAGTGGGCCGATCCCTCGGGCAACGCGAAAGCCCATGAGTTGCAGCATCAGGCTTCCAATTCTTGCGATTACTGGGTCAGCGTAAAGGCACGTTGGGTGCGGAAAGCGGAGCTGCCTGTCCCACCTGTAATAAGCAGACATTATTTTTTAGCAGAGTTGCTTTCAGAATTTTCCACTCACTGGTCACGTTATTTTTCTTCTTTGGAGAGAGGGGCAGGGGGTGATTTGTGCTTCTCAGCAAATACAAATATTTTAGTGATCATTACGTTGATAGCCAGCGGGTTTGTCAATGACATTTGTATTTGGGTGTGTATTGGGGGAATCGACAGGTAACGTTAATACTGCACTGGCGAACGTGAATTCAAGCGAATACTATCGCAGAGACTGCTTAAAAAAGCAGTGTCTTTGGGTTCATATTTGCATATATTATAGCTGCCCAGAAGAAATACTGATCATGTCAACTCTATTTCATTTATCAGTAAAGTGTTTTGTGATTAAAAGTGTTTTAAAAATGGGAATACTTATTTAATTACAACTTTTTTGGCCTGTTTTGTGCTATGTGCTTGGTAGCATGGTAACGTCTGGCAACTTTGGCGGGAAGCTTTTTGATGAGACTAGGGGAGTGGGAACACAATCTACTGAAAAAAAGAAGATTGCTTTGGCCTTCCAGTCATCCTAAGCTAGTACGTAAACGATAATCTAAACCGGATAGGGTAAAGTAAGCGAGTGAGTAAAAACTTGACTGACAATGTCGGGTGGTATGTCGCAGGGTTGAGCTAAAAGCACCCCAGCCTTGGTGACGGCCTCAATTCTTTGGACACGGACCGCTTTCTGAGTGGATCATTTGAAGATGCATGGGTGTAGCACCCATGTGCAATCTAGTTCGTCACTTAGGTTTAAACATGCAAAGCCGATCCTTGCATCGACACGATTACACGCTTGCGCGCTTTTGCAGGCCCCCTGCTGCTAGGTAGTATTGTGCAGGAAGGAAAACGAATCTCTAATCTTCATCTGGAGGAACTAGTCATAATGCCTTGATAACACAGAGTAATAGCACGTCGAATCGATGGTTAGACGAAGCATCGTGTATTTGGGAAGACGTGTGAAACACAAACAAAATGAAATACCACAGACCAAATGAAAGGTTAAAAAGATTTTAAAAAATGCCGCGTTTGTTCAATTTTTAGTGTTTTAAACCTTTTCATTTTGGTTGGCGCTATTTCATTTCACTTGTGTTTCATGGTTACAAGTCAATCTTGTGTTGTGGGTTCTATAGGTTAGATGGGTTGTTGTGAAAGCGATTAGAATATGACCATGTGACCGCATGAGTGTGTGTTTGCGCCTTGCTTTGGTGATTAAGTTATGGTAGCCTAGCCACTTTCCTGACGCCTTCACCACTCCCCATGTTCGTTCATTTTTGGCTGGATACATTTTCCAGATGGAATGCACCAGATAGCTCAACAACGAGTGTTATTAGAGGCCCGTGTGCTCAGATATGGGTGCACGTTAAAGAACTTCAGGTGGTCAAAATTTTCGGAGTCCTTCACTACAGCGTGTCTCATAATCATATGATGGTTTTCGGACGTTAAACCACACATATCAATCATCGAGTGCTGTTAGTCCAATCACCGTTAGATCAAATAACATAAGATGCGGATCTGATCAAGTTCATAATAATTTCTGGCGTGCAGGAGCTTATCCTTCTTTGCTGGTACTCAACTCTCGTTTCGACACAAGCGACGACGCGACACGTGCCTTTGCTATTTGCAATCTGCAGACTGTCTGGCCGGAAACAGCTCAGCAAAAAAAGCTATGACCTCGACAGCAGTTCACTATGCACCGATAAGCAGCTCTCGGATGTACTGCACTACGCAGCCAGACGCAGACGCCCGACTGCTTTCTTGCGGAAGGCCTTGGTGCTTCACCGTTAGCGTGCGGTGGTTGCTGTACACATGAATACGTTTCGATGCGGCCGCTTCTGCGTGAGACAGACGGGCCACTAGGCTTACCAAATTACAATAGAACATAGGAGATCGCTAACCATAGGCTAACCATCAGATTTGTCTTTACACTGCAGAGAGTGTAAGTGCGCGCCAAAATTTGTGGAGTGCCATATTTCGTACAGGCACAGAAATAAACGAACACTCCTATAATGATTGGGGCCTGGTGGGTGGATAATAGTGGTAGCGCATGTGTGAGCCAACCTTCGATGAAATAAACTTGCATAAATATGGAAGAAGCCGCAAAGGTTCGGATGATGCTTCGTTATCTCTCCCGTAGATAATCTCACGTGCCGGATTGATGGGTTTCGCCTCCTTGCCTGAGCGCGCACTGTTTGGTGTTTGTGCCTGCCGTCTTTTCCATCACTGTGCAGGTTTTCAGGGTTTATTGAGCGTTTGTGGTGTACTAACTGCTCTGTTGTGTCTGTGTTTGCATGCTCTGTCTTTTCAACAGGTACGGTGACTCTGGGATGTCCACACAAGACAAACTGTCCGAATAATAGCATCGCTATTCCTCTACTGACGCTTCTCATAACTGGTCTGTTTGGCAGCTGAAGGATCTATAGGTGCGAGGCCACTATATGATGTCTCGAGGTCTAATTCATAGTAACTTGTACACCCTCCAACACTGAAACGCTCCCTGTAATCTCCCCCGCCCCCATACAGTGGTAGTCATTCTTGAGAAATTCTCATCCTCCCCTCTTACTGACAGGCACACATCGGCACACCCATTTGGTCAAGTAACACCTCGCCACAAAATTAGGTAGATTCGACGTACCTTGGGAATCGACGTTATGCGACGCATGCAGAGAGTAGGTGACCATGTTGTATTTTCTTATTCAGTGATATGTAATGGAATGACGCTAAGTATATGCAGACATGCTGCAGCAAGGAGATATTTTGAACCGTTGAAGTTGCCTATATAACCAGTTTTTGCTTTTGCGCAACGATGCCAACTGGAACATGAGTATTAGCAACACCGGAAGCGATAAGCTGATGTGAAGCACTGGTGCTCGCGAGAATGGTAGCCCTGAACGCTGCTGGCCCCACCGCGGTGGTATATATAGTGGCTAAGGTACTCGGCGGCTGACCCGTGGGTCGCGGGATTGAATCCCGGCTGCAGCGGCTGCATTTTCGATGGAGGCGGAAATGTTGTAGGCCCGTGTGCTCAGATTTGGGTGCACGTTAAAGAACCCCAGGTGGTCGAAATTTCCGGAGCCCTCCACTACGGCGTCTCTCATAATCATATGGTGATTTTGGGACGTTAAACCCCACATATTAATCAATCAATTAGGTTAACTTCAACGCATAACACCTAACTGCAATTAATTTAATGTTTAATGAGCACTAGGATCTACTTCAAAAGGCGTTACAAGACCTGGCGTGGCTCTTTGGTAGAATGCTTGATTGCCACGCAGAATGCTGGGGTTTGATTCTTATATGTATACTGGGACCCTGACATTTGTTCTATGCATTCGTCGGGTCAACGCTACCAATGGAAGTTTTTCGTTAACACTCCCGTGTTAAAATTACCGACGTGTGTTCTCGCCTTTCTTGGTATGATACTAACAGTCAATCCCCTGTGGCACATACCCGCATATCAGTGGCACATATCCCCTGGCAAGTATGTGCCACTGTATGGCGCGAAGTGCTTGATGAAGTACGCGAAGGGATTGTGACAATATTAATGTCCTAACCAGCACGTCATATTATTATTCGTCAAACCATCTTGCTTTCCTGAACTAATTTTGGTTCACGCTAAGGTAAGGGGATGCTCATAAGGGCACCTAGATACAAACGGATAGACAGACAGACAGATAGATAGATAGATAGATAGATAGATAGATAGATAGATAGATAGATAGATAGATAGATAGATAGATAGATAGATAGATAGATAGATAGACAGACAGACAGACAGACAGACAGACAGACAGACAGACAGACAGACAGACAGACAGATAGATAGATAGATAGATAGATAGATAGATAGATAGATAGATAGATAGATAGATAGATAGATAGATAGATAGATAGATAGATAGATAGATAGATAGATAGATAGATAGATAGATAGATACTAAAGGTGCTTGCAGTACGCAAAGAAACCCTTCTCATTTAACAAAAGCACTTGTGCATACAATAATCAATTCACTTTGCCACTCGGTGTTCCTTGATTTTGTTACGAATGGTGGGTTTTGCAGAATCACAGCGTTATACTTTGGTGCACTGTTAGGTCTTGTAAGCATTCATTCAAGAATGCCTGTTTTTCAACTAATTTATTGGGAA